CTGAGGAACATAGAAACCCCTAAGGAACCCAACACTCCTGCAGTCTTTGTTCAAAAGCAAACTCTAACTTTGTACACATAGTTGTTGAAGTCTGCATCAACCTTTAAAGGCTTTTTTTAGTATAAAATAATGGACTTCTTGAAGGCACTTCCATATGTATGCAGTATCGTATTCGCCTCCTATTCTGCTCTATCCAGATCCTCTTGCTCTGGTCAGCTTCCTCCTTCCAGATTTTCCTCTTGTTTTTTTTATGTTGACTGTGATTTCTATGTAGGATTTTTATGATTTTTTTCCTGTATCTCTGGTGTATGATGTTGGTAACATGTACATTGTAGTTCTTACAAAACTGAATCTGTTACTCTGGAACTTGTAATTTTGATTCTGGGAATGTGGTCATTTTTTTTCTGTTCTTTCTTTCTTGAACTCCATAGGGTTTGATATTAGGCTTCCTGGTGTGTTTCTTATATTCACAAGGATTATGAGAAAGATATACTGAACCCCAAGGCTGGGTATCTCCACCATTTATAAATCATTGGAATTGATATTTAAAACAGTTTTACTGACAATACTGATGCTACCAGTACAATGAACAAATTTTGGTCTAAAATGCCCTAGATGTATTCTTTAACTGTTCTCCTTTTAATATCTAGGTTTTATATTTTTCTATTACCTTTGATCGACCTTCTTTCCATCAAATTTCTGCTGAATCATATCTTTTCTGACTGGCTTACAATTCACCCTACTAGTGAGCTCTCCTCCGAGGATTCTGTCTAAACAGTGCAAAAACCCAGCAGAGACAGGCAATGGGCACACAGATGTGCTGCAGTCTGCAGCCCACACCTTCTCCTACTCTTTCTCCATGCTGGGGTCCATACTTCTCAGTAATTTAGTCATCTTTTGTCTTTCCCACTAAAATGTAAACTTTATAAGGGTGTGGGGTTTTGTTTTGTTTTGTTTTTTGCTTAATTTTTGTCTAGTTCATTCCCAACTTCCTTAATATTAGTTGAAAAATACTAAAACATTCAATATATTGTATCTTACTTTTAGAAGTGTCATGTATTCACATGATGACCTTGAACTTCCTATGTAGCTGGAGATGATTTTGACATTTTTGTGTATGAGGAAGGATCTCACTGTATAACCCTGGATGGCTATGTAAAGCAGGCTCTACTTGAACTCACAGAACTCCATCTGCCTCTGTGCTGTGATTAAAGGAATGTGTCACCATGTCTATATACTGGAATGTGTCACCATGTCTGTATACTACATTTTTTTATTTTCCTGCCTCAGTACCTCTTGAGTGCTAGGATTGCAGGCATAATATGTATTATGTGGTGCTGGAGGTTAAAGCCAGCGTTTGTGTATGCTAGATAAGCGCTCTACAAACTGAGCTATATACTCAGCCTGGATGATCAAGCTTGATGAATTTTTCAACTTTATCCTTCTAATATTCATATTGCTTTTCAAACTGACTAAATTGTATTTTCATATCTTGTTTTCTAAGTGATATTTAATTATTTTATTTATATCATGGATGGAATACATTGACTTTAGGGTTTCTCTTAGTTGCTTTTCTATCACTACGAAGAAACAAAGGCAATTTATAAAAGAAAGAGTTTATTTGGTGCTTGCTTAGAGTTTCAGAGGGTTAATCCATGACCATCAAGGCAGGGAGCATGACAGCAGGCAAGCAGGTCTAGCATAGCACTAAAGCAGTAGCTCAGTGCTCACACTTTGAAATAACGACCATGCTGCAGACAAGAACCAATGTAGTCCTCTGGTGCTTTCTTCCTTTGTTATTGTAAATTCGTTGGTTCTCGGTCTATCCCATTGGAAGTTTCTGCTTGAATCCAAATGAGTTTTCGCATCTCTGTTCATGCCCTTAGACCTCACAGATGCAAACAGAGGTGTGCCTTCCCCGCTCTAAGGTAAACCTACTTTGAGTAACTTGACAATGAAGATCAGCCAGCACAGTGTGCTTGAGTTATTCTGGGAGTCTTCCCAGAGGAACACAGTAAATAGAGAGAAAGCACAGTCAAGGAGATGATGACACCAGGTGAAGTCCCAACCTCAGCTAAAGCTCAAAGAAAGAACGCTCTGAACATCCCAATCTCCCTGGACTATACTCATCTCCAGCCAAAGGAGCTGAGCTGCTGTCTGTCTTGTTTTATCTTTGTACTGAATGGAGTGCTTTGTCTGAAGGGCACGGTGGTTTGGGTAGTGGAGAAAATTCTCTGAAATGCTTGTATATCTCAGAAATGGCAAGTTGATGGCATTGTCCAGAGAGAAAGCTGAGAGATGCTGAGAAACCCCCAAGTCTGTGAAAGCTGGAGGATGGGTCTGTGAGCTGGTCCACTGGATCCCAGGAGAGCTGTGCAGGCACCAGAACTATCCCTCAAACCCAGCTGCTCGCCCACAGATAACCAAGAATGGCATTTCTCATACTTATAACCACATTGCTATTTCTTTTTTATCTGTTATTTCAGCTTATCTTTAAGGTGATTTTACAGTGAATGAAGAACAACATTAATATTAATACTCTTATTTTTCAGAAAAGTTAAAGCAAGGATTATGTGTCTTTCTAGCATTTCCACACTCTAAATTCTAGTTCCCTACATCATGTTTGAGTTTCTCAAATTCTCTAGAGCTGTGGATTGTAGCCTGGTTATCCTTTACTTTACATCTAATATCCATTTATGAGTGAGTATATATCATGTTTGTCTTTCTGGATCTGGGTTACCTTACTCAGTATGATTTTTTTCTAGTTCCATCCATTTGCCTACAAATTTCATGATGTCATTCATTTTTTTGTTTTTTTTCCTGTTGAGTAATACTCCATTGTATAAATAAATCACATTTTCTTTATCCATTCTTCCATTTGGGGGCATCTAGGTTGTTTCGAGGTTCTGGCTATTATGAATAATACTGCTATGAACATAGTTGAGCAAATGTCCTTGGGGGTATGGTTGAACTCATTTCTGTATATGCCCAAGAGTGGTATAGCTGGGTTTTGAGGTAGATTGATCCCCCATTTTCTGAGAAACTGACATACTGATTTCCCAAATGGCTGTACAAGTTTGTGGGAGCTCACAGAATCTGGATGGACAGCTGGGAAGCTGGCATAGGACTGACCTGGGCCCTCTGCATCTGGGTGATAATTGTGTAGCTTGGTCTTTTGTGGGACTCCTAGTAGTGGGACGAGGACTGTCCTTGGTGCATGAGCTGCCTCTTTGGAACCTATGCCCTATGGTGGGATGTCTTATTCAACCTTGATGCAGTGGGGAGCAGCTTAGTCCTGCCTCAGCTTGATATGCCATGCTTTCTTGATTCCCATGAGAGGCCTTACCCCATCTAAGTGGAGATGGAGGAGGAGTGGATGGGGGAAGGTAGAAGGAAGATGGGGGATAGGTGGGAGGGGAAACTGGTTGGTATATAAAATAAATAAATAATAATGAAAACAAAAAGATGTGCTTGATTAAATTCCATTGGTTTAAGCAAAGCTCATGGAAAGAAGCTTTAAAACATTCCTGGAGTACAGACGGGTGTGAATTGTTTAGAACATTCTTGGAATTAGTCTTAATTAGGGTTTCTATTGCTGTGAAGAGACACCATGATCACAGAAACTCTTATAAAGAAAACAGTTCATTGGGGTGACTTTCAGTTTCAAAGGTCCCATTATTATCATGGTGGCATGCAGGCAGACATGGTGCTAAAGGAGTAGCTGAGAGTCCTGCATCTTCCAGAGAACAAGAAGTTGACTGATGCTGTGTAGTATCCTGAGCATAGGAAACCTCTAAGCCCATCCCCACAGTGACACACTTCCTCTGGCAAGGAGGTTCCCATTTTAATGAAGCCACACCTCCCAATACTACCTATGAGATTATGGAGTTCAATTACATGCAAAGTACCACAGAATTCTTCCATAATTTTCCTGTGTGGGCATATTTGCATTTAGTACTTAATGACTCAGCCCATTTCTGCCAAAGTATGACTACTACTCTCCAAAATTATTATCTGTTATTGTTACTATCTGGTATTGACAGGACATGCCCTTCCAGTTTTGTTTGCACACAAAAACTTCCTTGCCCCTCACTCTTTCTGCTGATGATAGTTTAGTGGTGAGTCTATCAGTGGCTTTGAAAACTTCAGAGAAGCTGAGGACAGGAGTTTGTCTACCCTATGAATTAATTCCAAGCTCTTTTGCTGTTGAACCTTCTGTTTTTGAACCCTTTGTCCTTTATGTGATCTGACATGGTGCTTTCAAACCAAGTGGCACCTGTAAACCACCTTTGGAGCCTAACATGTATAGACATCCTGACTGATTCAGACCTATGAAATATACCATGTGGGTGTGGATGGTAACTACACCTGAATCTTTAATGGGACCATGGTTAAAAACACTGATGTAAAACAGCAGACTGTAACAGGCCCATTGGTGTCAAGCTAGGTCAAGCTGTCATTTACATCTTGACATTAGACTTTTAAACTAAAATTTTCTTTCTTATTTGAAATTATAAATGTTAAGCATTCTATTACAATTTAATATAGTAACTAATTAAAGAATGTATATCCTGTGAATTTAAACTTTCAATCATACATATCAATGTGAGAATATTTTAGCCTTGAGAAAGTGATTGATAATAACATGAAGCCATTATGATAACAGGACAGTAACACTGACTTAGCATACTCACTAACTTTTAACTGTTGAGAATAAGTTTCTTCAGAGACAGTGAAGTCATTTGGGGGTTCTTTCCAGTAGGATCTTCAAGTAAAGTAGGTAAAATGTGTTTTTAAAAACATCTTTTGAAAACTAGGAACGGTAAATGGTCAAATGATGTATTTTCATGTGTTATACACAAATTGACTAGCGATTGCTCTCCTTAATGAGGATTTGTGTTTGAATTTCTGCCTAGCTTTTCATTATGCAGTGTAGTGGCTGCAGGTGGCTTGATGATGGGGCTTAGTGAAGCATGTGTCTCATGAATGCTCATGTTCAGTTTCTTGGCAGTACTGAAGTGGAGCAACCAAAGGGAACAGAAGTCGTGAGAGATGCTGTGAGGAAACTGAAGGTAAGGAAAGCCCTCAGAAAAAAATGGCTAGTGCATTAATCTCATGTCATCAGCAGATGGATGGAAGTCAAAACATGGACAACTGTGGTAGGTGTAATTCCACTCTCATTAAACTAACATTAAATAACTATCACCTGTTCAAGGAGACATTTTGAATTCTAAACACATTTGCTGCACATACTATATTTTTATAAAAGTGTAATTTCTTAAAAGCTTTTAAGGCTGAACTCCATAAGTGTTTGTATTTGTGGTCATCCTTTATATTTGTTGGACAATATCAACCCATGCTTTAGCTTGAAAAGTAGAACCATAGAAATCTTTTACAGTTAAAGTGTCATATCTAACAGTTGAAAAGATGATTCCAAAGCAAAACTTTGTAGCGTTGTTATACATTAAGGATACCCCAATGGGCCATGTCAATGAGCAGTTTTAGGAGAGATTGTGTGACTATGATAGCAAAAGAAAATATTTATTAAAAGGCCTAAGTGTTTATGAGTAATACATTTCTTGAGAAAAATTCATGCAACCTCATGAACTCATGTTCAGTAAGTTTCCTGGTAAAATGTTCCCACTACACACTACACACTACAAACACAGCTCAGCTGTTCAAAGTCAGCCTCACTGAGATCTCAGTTGGGAAAACTCCTTCAAGAGGTCGTGCATCTTCACATTGTAAGAGGATCTACAGACCACTACTTTGTTTGCAAAGTTAGTTTTTTTCTCTGTGGCCACTCTCACCATCTGATGGATGTGGGACAACCTTTCTGTGATCTTGGCTCTAGATCATATGCTCCTTCCACAGGCTGAATCATGAACATTAAAAGTTACAACTGTGTTTTGAGAAGGTCAGATGAAGTATATGCAAAATTTAAATTGAGGGAAAATCTGAATAGGATTTGTATTGGGAATAATGAAATGATGTAGGCCATGCCTTCATGCATTTGCTCTTGTGACTATTTGACACAAGTACTGTAAGTAAACATTCTGTGTAGTCTCAATATAGTATCACTCATATTTGGGGAAAATGCTGTCATTAACCATTTCTTTCCACTATTCGTTAGGTGATGATTCAGGGTGGCCGTTGTCTGAACAACCTTTTTTAATCCCTATTAGAGGGTTTTATTTAAACACCTTGTAGTTTGTGGCAACACTTAAGTTATGACTCTATCTAATTGTTTAAATAGTGGTGTAAACCAGGGTTGAACACAACTTTAATGCAACCAGAACATATCTTAAAAGAACAAGGATGTTGGCAACATTTCTTTATACTTTGGGAATTCTTCATTCAGTATCTCATATATGAAACTAAAATGATTCAATTGTATTATGACTTTGCCAAAGAGATACTTGGACTCAAATGACTTCTTAAACTATGGCTAGTTTATATGCATTTTGTGAGGTTTTATATGGTATTTCTATATAGTTTCACACTTAGAAATGAACTCTTACTGGGCATAATGGACAATAACAGGATAGTTAAAATATATAGTTAATGGACAGTAGCTTTGCTTAAATGTGTATCTTTCAAAATTAATATGCATTTGATAAATAAATTATATTGATTGAAAAATTTGTTTTTTGTGGGGAAAGTGTATATATATACATATACATACCTATATATGAGAGAATCTTGTACTAGTGAACCCGAGTTAGACAATGGTTTTACCTAAGTTTTTTTGTAACCGTTTCTTTTTTGCTGTGTCAGAGGTCAAAAGCTATTATAAAATGTATTAATATTTACACTTATTTTTAATTTTGCTATCATATAGATATGGCCATGGGGTGGCGCTGTGGTTCCACTAGAAATAGAAACCGCCAAATGTCCAAGGTCCCATTTTGATTTTGTGCTTATTTTCTCCAAATACATGTGTCCCGACACTTTTAGTAAATATACTGCAGTGTTGTGCTCGGCTTTTTCTCTCATGTAAAGATGTTATTTATATTTACTCCCTTTTCTAAGTTTGCATTTTAAATGTATTGGCTCCTGACATTAGGTAAGAATTAGAAATATAAGCATAACACAGACTGATGAAAATCTTAAAGAATTTTCAAACTCCTGTAATCCATGATGTCTGTTTGTGTTTTAACAAATACTTCTAGGGATTTGCTTATTCTGTATTTTGTGACTATAGAGATTTCATTGTTTAATAATTTTAAAACAATTTGTGTGAGAAAGAAAATACTTTCATACTCTGTTTGTCAAAACGGCATGCCATTTTTCTATTTCTTAATCATACTTTAGCCTGATATTTAAAAAAGCAGTAAGTATCGAAAAGTGTGATACTATACAAACTTGGCACTGTTGTTATGAATTTCATTTTCAGAAAAGGTCTGTTACAACACAATCAGTTCAAACATCAGGACTTAATATGTGCTCATAACTTGGTATATTTTAGTCTGAATACACACTGGGACATAGATATTAGCTCAGCAGCCTCCCTGAGACATGAGTAGTGACAAAATTTTTTTGGCCTCAGTTTGAAAGGATTATCTCCTAGTTAAAGAGGCTCCACTCAAATATATGAAACTACTTCAATGTAATACAGCATAGGGAGTCACTGTCAAAATATGTTTGCTTATCATCTTAGGTCTTCATCATTGGATTTCGCTCTGTGTAACATAATTCTGTTGTGTCATCACAGTTTTTTTTTTCTTCAGTTGACCAATTGATTAGAACTTAGTTATGCTTAACAGTATGATTATTGGGAATATTTTAGCAACTTAAGTGTAAGAATCACAAAGTGGCATACGAGTGCTGAATAATTTGAGGGTGTGATAGTATACGTAAGTGATCCTAAGAATTCTACCAGGGAACTCCTGTAGCCAATAAACACCTTTACCTAAGTGGCTAGATACAAGATTAATTAAAATAATAATAATATAATTTAAAAACTGGCATGAATTTTGATAAAGGAGCCAGAAATACATATTGATAAAGGACAGTACCTTCAACAAATGACCCTGGTCATTCTGGATGTCTGCATGTAGAAGAATACAAACAGACCCATATTTATCACCCTGCACAAAACCCTAGTCCATGTGGATCAAAGACCTCAACATAAAACCAGGTATACTCAACCTGAGAGAAGAGAAAGTGGGAAATAGCATTGAATACTTTGGACAGAAGACAACTTTCTGAACAGTACACTGATAGTACGGGCATTAAGATCAGCAATTAATAAATGGGAACTCAAGAAGCTGAAAATCTTCTGTAAGACAAGGGACACTGTCAGTCAGACAAAATGGCAGCCTACAGGATGGGAAAGTATTTTTACCAACTCCACATATAATTGAGATATCAAAAAGCCAAAATAATCTAGTATAAAAATATGATCAAGATCTAAACAAAATCCTTAATAGAGGCTTCTCAAAGGACTAAGAAATATTTAAGGAAATGTTCAACATCCTTAGTTATCAGGGAAATGCAAATCAAAGCTACTTTGAGAGTCCATCTTATAGCTGTCATAATGGCTAAGATCAATAACAGAAGTGAAAGCTCATGCTGGTGAGCATGTGGAGCAAGGGAAGTACTCCTCCATTGCTGGTGGGAATGCAAACTTGTACAGCTACTATGGATATCAATATGGTGGTTCCTTAGAAGGTTGGGAGTTAATCTACTTCAAGATCCAGCTATACCACTCTTGGGCATATACACAAAGGATGCTCCATCCTGCCACAAAGACATTTGTTCAGCAGTGTTCATTGCAGATGTCCTTCAGCAGAAGAATGGATAAGGAATATATGTGGTACATTTATACAACAAAGTATTAGTCACCTGTTTTGTAAAAATGGCATAATGAAATTTACATGCAAAAGTATAGAACTAGAAGAAAAATCATCCTTAGTGGAGCAACCGAGTCACAGAAAGACAGCTTCACTTGTGAGTGGATATTAGCCATAAAAAGAAATGATAACCAAACTGCAATCAATAGATCCAGTGAGATTTGGTAAAGTGGAAGGGCCTGGAAGATGCAGGAACTTCCTTGGCAGGAGGAAATAGAATAGATTTTATGGTCAGACTTGGGTAAGGTGGAGACAGGAATGAGGGTTCAGGTGGAATGAGATTGAATGGAAGGAGACAGTGCAATAAGAGATGAATTGGAGAGCATTTGGGTGACAGTATGGTGACAGAGGATTTTTTTCTGGAATCTATGAAGGTGACCCTATAATGGGGCATATGGAATCTTAACTTCCCTCTCTTATAGTCAAGAAAGACTTCCAGTGGTCACAGTAGGTTGCATTCAATTGAATTGTTGGCCAAGGGAGTGCCATGGAAATCCCTAAGTAACCAAGGCTGTTGCTAAGTCAGAGGATTGCTATCTGAAAACTGACAACAGGACCCCATTGCCAAGGACAATGCCCATACTCCTCAATGAACTTGGAGACGTCAGAGTAGTGCCTACATGGAGCCCTCACCCCTGTGTTCTAGTCTCTTTGGTGTGTACTTTGAAGGCTACCAAAAGAGAAACATGGACCATATTGCAGCCACAAAACCTCTGAACTACAGTATGTCCTGCATGCAAAATATACTAGGTCAATGGTGGCACAGAACTTATAGGAATAGCCATCCAATGTCTGATTTGACTTAAGACTCACTTAATAAGAAGGAACCCATATCTGAGACTTCTTGGGTAACTAAGAAACAGAGAATAGGTAGCTCAGAGATACCTAGGATAAAACAAAACTCTACTGGTCTAAAAAAATCAATAAAATGATTCCTAATGATAATCTGCTATACTCATAGATCAATGCCTTATCCAGCCATCACCAGAGAGTCTTCCTCCGGCAGTAGATGAGAACAGATGCTAAGACCCACAGTCAGACATTATGTGAAGAGAGAATCTGAATTGGAGGTGTCCATTCCACCCCTCAGATCTCAGGAATTCCTCCTGAAGAGGAGATGGAATGATTGTAAGAGCCAGTGGGTATTGAGGACACCAGTAGAGTAAGGCCCTCAGAATCAACTGAGCAAGACACATATGAGGTCATAGAGACTGGAGCAGCAAGCACAAAGCCTTCATGGATCTGCATCAGATCCTCTGAATATATGCTCGAGCTGTTAGTTTAGAATTTGTATGGGACTCCTGATAGTGAGAGGTCTTTGATTCTTGTGCCTGCTCTTGTGATTCTTTTCCTCCTACTGGTTTACTGTGTCCAACTTCAATATGATAGTTCTTGCTTGCTCATATTATCTTTTATTTTGTTATATTTGGCTGTTATCTCTTAGAAACCTATTCTTTCTAATGAGAGACAGAAAGGGAATGGATATGAAGCAGAGTGGAGGTGGGGAGGAACTGGGAGGAGTAGAGGGAAGAGAACTATAATCAGGATGTAATGTGTGAGAAATCTATTTTCAATAAACGAAACACACACAAAGTAGCATAGGATTGCCAAATAATAGGGACACATTAATACATTTGCCTACTAACATACATTCCATTAGTAATGGACTTATATTTCATTTTTCAAAACATCCTTCGAGAGATGTATGGAAATTGTGTAATGACAGCATTAAAATTCAATGCTCTTTAAATCTTCATTACAAGCTCTAAATAGCAGTGACTCATGTTTAACTGACTTTATAATTTCAAATATCATTTCATTTTTTCATTATTTCATGAGTACAAAGGTGTTGTTTTGATGCTGTGTTGTATAAAATGCTTATGTTTCACATCCTTTGAACATTCTATTGGATCGGATTATTATGTTCAAGTTACAACTATCATTCTATCTATGTAGGTCTATAAAGAAAGGAATTCAGAACAAAAATGGAAAGGGATTTTCGAACAAGACTGTTCAAGCATTTACATTAAAATCATGAATGGGAAAAAGAATATACTCAAGGACAAGAGAGCATCATGTCATGCACTGTCTTTCATCACTCCTGAATTAGAATTTTGGTACATAGTTAAAAAATCCACATGTAAGAAAATCAAGGAGAGTTAAGATGGGAGCATGCAAAGTCTTGTGAGCAGTGATCTTGACTTTTGCAAAAGAAAAGAAAAGAAAAATGCAGTAAGAAAGTGGTTATCAAATTATTTAAGATATAAAGCTGAGTGAGTCTAATTCTAGATACAAGACTTTAGCAAGTATGTTTCCAGTCATCATATCACAAAATTGATGGGAGCCTTGATATACATGAAACAAAAAGGAAGAATTTATTTTTTTTAATGCAGAAAATGTGATGTTAAAGGAAGAGGTCTAATGCAACTGTAGTTTTCCCATTTGATGGTTGGGATTGTTGAAGGACATTAGGAAATGGAGTTTCGGTTGAATGGGAACTGAGAAAGCAAAGGGTTTTTTTTGTTTTCTGTTTTTTTGTTTGTTTGTTTGTTTGTTTTTTGCACTGTTAGCTTCTTCTTGACATGAGGCAGGGGAGGGATGCCAGAGGATTACACCAAGTGTTTAGTTCTTTTTCTCATCTGCTCATACTCCCTTTCCTGAGACTTCCCTTTCTCCATCCCTCCTCCTCCTCGTGTGTGTGTGTGCGTGTGTGTGTGTGTGTATGTGTGTCTGTGTACACATGTGTAACACTCTTTCCTTTCTTCATTTCTTCCACTCATTTTTTTGTCTTTCTAAATAGGAAAGTTTTAAATTACAGAGTGTTTTATGGAAAGATTTTCATAAAATACAAGGCTACACGAATTACTGTTTCCAGATGGTGAAAAGGCCTTGGAAGCCACTGCCTGGCCTTTCAAGCAGCCCAGGGTGGCTTTTCTCAGGTGGCCTTCCGTAGGTAAAGAACACAGATCAACTGGTGCTGTTAGTACTTCACGCATGGAAACCTCACAATTGCTTAATTATTCTAAGTCAGAAGGATACTGGCAGTGGAAAGGAAAGCTAATACACATTCATGGAAGGAGAGCTGTAGTAACTTTTGGGTTGCATGAAAGCAAAACATGTTTCTTAAAGACCTAAAAGTATTTGGCATACATTGCATGTCATGTGCACACTGTAAGACTTCTAGAGACAAAAGAAAAAATAATAACTAAGCAGCTTATGTTCAAAGGAATGCAGAAAGAGCAGGCTGAAAAATTATGCCACCCAACATGGAATAAAACAAATAGCACCAGCTGGGATTCGAAGGCAGACACTTCAAGGCACTCCTGTAGGCATTAATTACGTTCTTCTCTGTGGTGGTGCAAAGACGTGAAATAAAAAGGCTTTCACCACTCTGCCCCAGGAACAACTGTACCATGCATGCTCACATCTGCCCTAAATTAGAGTGAATTGCACAATGCAAATAGGATACACTAGAGCCCTGGAGTCCTGCCCGACCTCACATCTGATCCATTTGAATCAAGTTCAGAGGCCTTTCCATATGTTGAAATGAGTTGTAGAAGCTCTAGGAGTAGGGTGAGCAATTCTACTACTTTTAAAGTCTCCTTTTTCCTCTTTAAAAAAAGTCATATAGAGGGAAGGAGCTAACAAAGAAGTAGGGAGTCAGAGGGGTTGCCAGCAGAAACCAGAACATCCAGTGAACTAAGAAAATAGGGAGCTGGGCAGAAACTGAGACACTCAGTGAACCGTGGATTCAGGTAAGTAGCAATTAAACCAAAAAGGATTACATGATACTTCCCAGGACATATTTATTTTAGCAGCACATATATGTTTTATGTATATGCATAGGTAAACCTTTGTATCTATACTAATATTAAAAGTTGGTAGACATATCTACTGTTTAACACTCAAATTCAATTGAATCTTATAATATTTCTTCCATTAAATCCAGAAAAGCTGGGGAGAGATAGGCAGAAACTTCCTCCACCTGAGAGCAGAACCATTCTGATTTTCCTTTAGATTTTACAGACAGCTATGAAAGTAGGGAGAAACTTTGTCTCCAAAATGCTGTATTTGTGATTCTAGACCACATCTGGATCCACACAGGAGTCATTCATGTGTGAAATGACTGGAGCTCTTAGCTTTGGTTTAGATGTGTCCGTTGGTGTTTTCTTTGTTGGTCTGGATGATAGGACAGTGTACACAATTAAGTAGGTGTCACTCAATAGCAGGTGAACAGCAAATTATGAGAATGTATTGAATTAAAATTATCTTGAAATGACGTAACATCTACCTACCATTCCACATTGCTTTCTTTGTTGGTTGGTACACATGCAGCCTTTTAAATATAATGTCAAAAATGTGTGAAAATCAAGGTTTTGTAGGATTTGGGGGATTTGTTGTTGTCTAATGATAAGATTAGCATGGTGGCATATACCTGTAATCACAGCACTTGCGTGGCTAGGGCAGTGGATTGTTATAAATTTGAGCCCAGCCTGGATCTACATAATGATTTCTAGCCTGGCATGGAATACAAAAGGAGGGCTTGCCTCAAAAATAAAAGCCAAGCAAATGAACAAAAAACAAAGGCAAATGAATCTGAATTACAGTGCCAGACAGAGAGGGTACTGAGAAAAACTGTTTCTGTGAGATGCTTTGTAATGGGTACTACCTGGATTTATGAATGCCTGTTACAGACACAAACTCCAAATATACATTTATGTTCATTTTCCACAGGAATGAAACCATAATGTTATGTATTTCTTTGTCACTTCTAGTTTGCAAGACACATCAAGAAATCTGAAGGCCAAAAGATTCCTAAAGTTGAGTTGCAAATATCAATTTATGGAGTAAAAATTCTTGAACCCAAAAGCAAGGTAAGGCTTGTTTTTGAGAGTCATATTGCCCTATTCTTCAGCCAGTGACAATTATATTTATTTTCATGGATATTTATTACCAGCTTTAAATGTTTGGTTCTTGGTGATTTATTTAAATGTGTATTTGGGAAAAGGGAACTTGGAATCTTGGAGATGTCTATTCTGCAGCCTGTTCCACAATTAACATCTTATACAAAGTATATTCAGTACTGATAATACCTGTATTTAGAGATTTCTATTCACTTTATGTGCAAGGTATATATGGTATAGTTTGCTGGGTATGAAAGAAAAGGAAAGCTGTGCCATGTGTTAAAATGTCCTTTCTTGTAGATACAATTGACATGTGTAAGTTTTCTTGGGGCTGCTATAACAAAATACCAAAGGCTGGGTAACTTAAACAACAACAATTTATTTCTTTTGTAGTTGTGAACCCAAAATCTCAATATCCATATGTCCACAAACCCAGTTTCCTCCATAGCCTCCTCCCTTGGCACCGCTGGCTGACTGCTGTATCTTCATATGCATGCACACTTCAGATTCTTTGTGTGCTGGGTTTTATTTATTTGTTTTTAATAAGGGCACCAGAAATCACAAATCCATGAAGCTACCACTGCAAAAAGAAGCTTTTATGACCCAAATTGGCAGCACTAATCTATGGGCATGAATTTAGTTATTTAGGAAGTAATTTGGTGACACATTTTGTCCATTTAGTAAACAACAGCAGTCATTTCCTTAAGGACTGGCTACAAGCACTGACCACATCTATGATGCCAGGCAGGAATTCTCTCCTCTGGTGCAGACTTGAAATTCAATCAGTAAGTAGTTGGTTGTCCCTATAATATAGACTTGCCACAATTGTACCAGTGGGCTCATCTTTCCTGTCCAGTTGATTGCATAGCATGCAAGGATTAGACTGTGTAAGACCACATAGCAATTCTTCCTTGGCAAGCTGCATAACATCTCCTGACACTGAGGTCAAACCAGTAGGAAGAAAGCTCCCAGCCAAAGTTCAACTTCATTTCTACATGTTCTGTGGCTGACACTTACGGCAATAGGGTCTTGCCATGTAGTTATGCTGGACAGCAAACAACAGTGACAATGACCTCTTTATTTGGGGTTCTCAGGGGTATCCTTGACCAACAGCTCAAAGGAGGTAGCCTACTTCTGACACAGGAATTTTTACTTAATGTCTTACATTTCCCAGGAGAAGCTTTGTCTACCTATGCAGGGTCCTTCCATTTAAACTCATTGTTTTTACATTCTGCTTTTAACCTGTCTTACCAATTATCAGTCTTCCTTAGGAACGTTTTCATACACCGTTAGTTTTAGTTGGCCTCCCCCAACCATTTTTGTTTCTTCCATCTCCCTACAACCTTCCACATTCAATTCTTGCCACCCCAATGGTGAAGTCAGAAGTTAGACAGTGTTCAGAATCATCCACCAACATGAGCAATGAGGATTCAAGACAAAATATAAATATGGTAGGGAGATTTTCTAATTGGCTATGGCTAGATGCCTGCCTTATTTAGACATAGTGTAACGAGCTGGCTGCTGGTGATTGGTTAAAACCCAGTTATATGTAATTAGCTGAAGCTGCAGTTTTAATCTTTTTTTTAATTTAAATTAGAAACAAGCTTGTTTCACATGTCAATCCCAGCTCTCTCTCCCTCCCCTTTCCCCCTCTTTCCTTCATTGCCCCCCAACCTCTACCCAATCCCCTCTCCACTCTCCAGGAAGGGTGAGACCCTTTGTGGGGGATCTCCAAAGTCTGCCATTATCATCTGGGGCCTAGGCCCTCCCCTATGTGTCCATGCTGAGAGAGCATCCCTCCATGTGGAATGGGCTCCTAAAGTCTATCTGGATGCCAGGAATAAATGCTGATCTATTGCCCGAGGCCCCAAAGAATGCCAAGGTCTCCTCACTGACACCCACATTCAGGGGGTCTAGATCAGTCCCACTCTGGCCGCTCACTATCAGTTTAGGGTCCATGAGCTCCCCCTTGTTCAGGTCAGCTGTTTCTGTGGGTTTCACCCACCCACACTTGACCCCTTTGAAGCTGCACTTTTTGTTATATATAAAGTTAGGCGGTTCACACCTAACTTGCAGTTTGTTAGCTAAGAAATGAAATAGGCAGAAAGTCTCAAATTAATGTGCTCCTGCTTATTTCATTAAACATTTTTGATGCAATTATAGTTTATCGTATTGGGAATGAGCTCTTCAGGCAGAAGAATGGATAGTTCTTGGAATGAGTTATATTGTACTTACCTAACAGAATTGCAAACTGAGGTCTACACAATCCTAAACTTATTTTTTAAATTTATTTTATTTTATGGGAATGGGTGTTTTGCAAGCATGTGTGTCTGTGTTACCACTTGCATGCATGGTCCTGATAGAAGCCAGAAGAGGGCACTGAAACTGGAATTACAGATAGTTTTGAGTGCTGAGAATCAGATGTGTGTCCTCTCGAAGAGTAATCGGTGTCTTAATTGCTTTGCCATCTCTCAAGCCCCAGAATCCTAATCTTTTAATGTATTTGTAAATAGTTGAGGAATCTTGTCATGTGGTTCCTGTTCCTACATTCAGTGATATAGAACAATGATGTCTTTCAAATTCAAGGCCTGAATTTAAGACTTATTAATATACCCTGTAGTACTTTCCTATTTTACACCCCCAATTAAACAACAAATGAGGACCTGGATGTTTTAGTTATGGCTGCTCCAATATAACTGCTCCTGTAGGAGCAGTGAGGAGGGTCATTCCAGTGTACCATAGTATGTGTAGTTTGCTTAGATACAAGATAATTGAAAATGATTCTCATTTCCCAAACAGGTGGCGTAGCTGAGAAAAATTCATTAGGCAAATGACACATGTGAAAAGGATAATAGACCAGGAAAGTAACAAGCACAGGCAGCACTATAGCATACTCTTAACTCATATCCTGTAATCTCCTTAGTTCCAATCACTGCACACTTAGAATGATCCAAATGCTTCATTGTTATATACTTAAAAATATACTTAAAATACTCTCAGCTTCTTTCTCTACTTTATGCATTGAAGAATATCCTGCCCAGGGAGTGGTCCCACCCGCCACTATCATGGGTCTTTCCACATAAATTGATGTAATTGCCTAATGATATGCCCAAAGGCCTGTTTCCTGTTATGATTCTGGGGTTATCACAAGGTGACAGTTCACATGAACCATCACACCAATATAAACAAATAATAGGATAACGAGGAACTGATTACAACCAAATACTGTTGACCGTACTGATTGTTGGATAGAGGAAAGATGACACATTTCACCACTAACTATAGAAATGATGGGTTTATCATGTAAGTAAGTAGAAATAATAAATCTGCATGATCATTTTTCAACTATTTAATTATGACTCAGGGCTGTTGTTTGATTGACAATATTAAAACAAAATTGTTGCATTTTAAGAGTAGATTCAATAAATACCTTTGCATCTCATCATATTTTATCCTCTCTTTTTTCTTTTCAGAGTAGATTCAGTAATCTACCCTTTTTAATCCTATCATATTCGGATTCCTCTATATTTTTTAGAACAAAAATTTTAAATATAATCCCTTTTATTCAATTTTCTTCCTGATCATAAGCAACAACATTTTGTAACCAGTTCCCTAAACAATGACAAATATCCATAACCCAATGAGTGATTAAAACCACCCACCCACCCCACCTCTTGGTTCTTAAGATTACTTCATGCTGTCTGTGGGTGATGACATCTTTAGGGGATCCTGAAAAGAAAATGTTGGTTAATTGTCAAGCTGTATCATTTGTTATCCAGTCTCTGCATAATGGGCAAGTACAAGGCCTCTTTCAAATACTGGCTAAAGTAGTCTGTGAGGCTGAAACACCTCACCTAGCCACCTCAAAATTGTTCCAAGCAGTATCTGTGAGGCTTGATCATCTCAGGAAGTCACCTCAAAATGGTTATGAGCAGTTGTAGTCCAAAGCTAATTTTTTATGATTTTTAATTTAAATTAGAAACAATCTTGTTTTATATATCAATTCCAGTTCCCTCTCCCTCTGCTCCTCCCCCGCTCCCCACCAATCCCCTATCCCATCACCTTTCTGCTCTCCAGGGAGGGTGAGGTCTTCTATGGGGGATCTTCAAATTCTGTCACATCATTTGGAGCAAGCCCTATAATGAGATTGATGACTACCTTATGTGCCAATCTATATAATCTATAGTTGGTGTTGCTCATCATAACGGTGTTGTAATAGTACGAGTGAAATTGTTGTGGGGCCACATCCTCCTTTTGGAGACTTCACGTCACTGTTAGACATGGTCATATTTCACTGTAGAAAACTGATAGATACTCAAACTAGAAGGTACATAAAGGAAGACAAAAAACCTTTTCTAGAGTTGGTTAGTACTCCATATGACCATTAATATCATGACCACAATTATGAGATTAGTAGCAATACAAAAGTCCTAAAAATTTGTTTTCCGTTCCATATCAGATGACTGTTCTGACATGAGACAGAGATTTTATATGTTACATTAACAAGCATGCTTGGGTTTAGAGAAGGAGAATGGATATAGATATGATGAGATGAAAAGGTAGATTATTGAATCTACTCTTAAAAAGTAACAAAATGGTGCCTCACATTGGGCATCAATTTATTGCATTTTCTTTCTTTCTTTTTTTTTTGTTTTTTTTTTTTGTTGTTGTTTTTTCGAGACAGGGTTTCTCTGTATTGTTTTGGAGGCTGTCGGTCCAGCCTGGCCTCAAACTCACAGAGATCCGCCTGCCTCTGCCTCCCGAGTGCTGGGATTAAAGGCGTGCGCCACCACCGCCCGGCTCAACTTATTGCATTTTCTTATCCAGCCGGGTCCCGCCATCCTTCTCAGCCCCAAATGAACTCACAGATGCTATATTAATTATTAAACTGTTGGCCATGGCTGGGGCTTCTTATTGGCTAACTTTCTTTAAATTATGAATCCATATCTGTTAACCTATGTATTGCCACGAGGTTGTGACTTACCTATAATCCAGCATGTTACTCCTTTGGTAACATGGCATCTCCACTGTCTTCCTTCATCTACCTTTCCCAGCATTCTCCTTGTCTCCTAGTTCCACCTATCTTCCTTTCTAGCCATTCAGTGTTTTATGCATCAACCAATAAGAGAAACATATATGCAGAAGTACATCCCCCATCACAAAAATAGTGTCAATGTGAAAAAAAATGAGTGCACTATCAGGGAAAAATATATGAACAAATCTAAGAGATACACTGTTGTTTATCTAAATTATAGGGCCAGAAAGAGAAGATGCCCTCATCAATAGACTATTGACAAAAAGAAAGAGACTATGAAAGTAAAAGGAAGACTTTTAGAGAGCAGAAAGGATTGGGTAGCAGAACTTACAGTGGGCAATGGACTAGAAATGTTTAAAATATGTTCCATTCATATATAGAATGTCACAATGAAACCAATTATTCTTTACAGTTAGGATTCACTAGTTAGGAAAGCCTACATACTACTCTTTCTAGCACTACCCTTCTCTCCTATAAACATATATAGATCAGAATGTCCAAACATACTACCCATACAGTATCTTTCTCATTTCATAGTTAAGTTCATCCAACAAATGCTTGATTACAGGTCATTAAGTGGACATTCCAGGGACAATGCATTGCTATAGATGAATTCTGTTGGCATTTATTATCTAAGGCAGCTAAGTTCTTATTTTCAGTCTTATAAACAAAGTAGAAATAAGACTGATAGATTAAATCAAATCAAGCATGCCTGTAAAATGCAAAAAGATTAGATTGTATGGCATCCTTATTGATTTTGATGACAGTCTTTGAGTTTCTGATTCAACTGCAATAAATACAGGAAAAATGTTTGTAACAGACACTCTGGTGTTTAAAATTGGAAATACCTGGTCAGCCTTGGATGGAACTATAATAGCTCAATTGCTAATCTTTTACAACACTCAATTGCTAATCTTTTTTACAATATTGGGATGATCAGAGTTTCTGACTGACATTTTGTGTTATAATGCACTTTGAAATAAAGGATGCATATAGAGAGAGTAGAAAACAGAATGATTATTGATTGCATTTTATTTTCATCAGTTCTAATTAAGAAAAATATACGATTTTTTTCTAAACCCAGTATGTTCAGAAAACTATGGTGCTAAATAAATGATATTGATGATGATCCTGAGTAATAACTCAGTTTGTGTGTGTGTGTGTGTGTGTGAGTACGCACGCATGTGCATGTACACCCATGCTGCTACTCTTTCAGGTTGATTAGTTGTCTATTAGAAGCCATAATTCCGTCATCTGATGACTGTTGTGTTAACAGCCCTATACTACCAAAGTTGCAAGGATGACCTTTTCGGACAGAAAAGGCCCAGGAGTGAATGAATACCATACAGACCAGATATTTAATGAGAGAACTATGGATGAGTTGTTTCCGGGGCTCGTGTGAACTTGTACAGAGGTGGTTCTGTTGTAGACTACAGTGTCAATTATTTCCAGAAACCCAAAATGCAAAGAATTTGGCAAAATTTGTTAATTTCTATAAACCTTTGGAAATGTTTTCATATTTTGGGGGCTCAGTATCCTCTTATATAAATGTTCAAGGTTTAAAGAATATGGATTTTAAACATCCTTTGTAGGTCACAGAAACCCTGTAAACCACTGATATTCCTTTTTCCAGCATGTACTGGTGTATGCACTAATACAGTGAATGTCTTGTTTCGGAGTCAGGAGGTCCATCTCCATTATGTGTGTATTTGTTTAAATTTGAGGCATTTGCAATTAAAGAGAAAGACTTGATAGGTGATTGCTACACTTTCAAAACTGTAAGATGTATTATTAACACAGTTGACATTTCAGAATGTGGAAGAAAGTACAATCAACTATATTTATTTCCATTCATGTTCACAGGAAGTCCAACACAACTGCCAGCTTCATAGAATATCATTTTGTGCAGATGATAAAACTGACAAGCGGATATTCACTTTTATATGCAAAGATTCCGAGTCAAATAAACATTTGTGTTATGTATTTGACAGCGAAAAATGTGTAAGTATGCCAGATGTTTTAGGGTGGTTTGTTCTCTTTTACAAGCCAGGAATTGTCTTGTTTCCGGCATTAACCAAGTATTTGGAAATGAATAAAGCATTCAAATGTTTAACTGCACTAATAGATTCATCCTGTCGTTAGAACAGCCTTCAGAATTTCATCCTAACTAAATGCTTATGTTCATTAGCGAAAGCTCACATGCAAATTTTTTCATTAGAGCATCATGGCTACTTTCATCTGTCTGCATTGATCTCAATATAATTTAGCTAATTCTGAATTTTAATCTTTAAGTCTGCATGATACAAAGAAGAACAGTGAGCACAACAAGTTTCCTAGAATATGAGGAATTTAAGGAAAACAAATATTTTAAGCTGAGGAATACCTGCTGTATGGCTTTTTAGAATGTTTCCGATTATTTGAAAGTTGGTTTTTGATGTGTGTGTGTGTGTGTGTGTGTGTGCAGGTGTGTGGACTCTGAAGTTCTTAGCATGTAAGGATGTTTAGGAAACTTAATCATCCAACATCTTAAGAAAAACCGTGTGTCTTGCTTACAAGTGTAAGTTAATTTTCATAGCCAAATCTGTGTTTTGTTATAAAAACCCAAGATGTGATTTCTGAGCACATATTGTAGCTATTGATGGCGTCAATGGAAAACCATCCAACCTCAACAACACTGTTGGATTAAAATGGAAGTAGAACTAAGCTCATTTAGATTCTATTTTTTCCTTGTGCTCAAAAATAGAAAATTACTAATATCGTGAGGAGGTGGTTTATTTCTCTGGTTTTTCCTTGTGGGCTTTCTGAGAATAAATACCTACATGAGAATTCATACCTATTTCTTGCATTAGGTAGATAACAGATATCTAGTAAGTTTTGTTTTCTTGATGGAAAATACATTGTCGAAATTTACCAAACTAGCTAGTTATTTCCTACATCTTTTAAATTTTAGAGCTCTTAAAAAGCAAGTTCATATGGTGTCTATGTGACACTATAAGACTTACTTGGAATTTTGTAAACATTACAGGACATCTCATCTAAAAATATGCTTATCAATGCAAATCAGCATTCTACAGGCAAGAAGGAACTTTATATGGAGAGCACATTATTTCTATCCCATTTCACAATTGCATTATGGTTGCATATTTCAACGCTTTCTCAACATGTTGTTTGCAGATGATTTTGTTTATGTGATTAAGAATATTGAAGCTAAAATAATTTCTATTTTAATATGTAACACTCTTCCTTTTTTTGAACCAAAGCAATAACCTCAATTTTCTTTCACCCAAGCCTTCAACATGGAAATCAACTTCCTTCGAATCCTCTGAAGTGGTTCATAATTCAATCTCCATTCTCATAGTTACATGCTACTTTGTAATCTCTCTTTGATACCCATCTAAATCTATCATATGATCATAAGGAGAAAGAAAGTGTTTCTTGTATAGATACATCACATTTGAAAAAAGTATATGTCTTTTTTTTAAACCTCAAGGACAATTTTATTAGAGTTTAATTGTTGAATTTATATGGAAGGGAAGTTATAAACCTCAGAAGTTGTCTGGAGAAGGAGAATCAAAGATGAAGAGATAAAACCCTCCAAATGAGTTACTAACATGGAGGCTTGTCACATGGGAGAGGAAGATATCAGAGAAAGAATAAGGAAGCCTGACATGTTGGGGAACAAGTGCTTTAAAAGATAAAAAGAAACTGGGAATATTAATGCTTTTTGATGTGACTCAGAAAAGGGGCTGACTTATAAAACTGCATGCTGTGGTCCAGTAAGCTATCACCTAAAATTCTGGGAAAGGAAGATGTGATATCTCAGCAAACCTACCTTTCTCAGAGCGGGCCTGCTTTCATGATCTCAGAGAGGAACTTTTTCCTCAGTTGCAATGCATTTTTTTGCTACTGGTCTAATTAAAATGTGAACATGAATGTAAAGTTGACTTTATATATAGGCAGAAATTTTGATATATCACCCTTTCTAGTTAATAGTTATACATAATATTAATTATTGTAATTAATTAGTCATGGAATATTGAATTGAAAGAATGAATTTTAGCCTTATTGATAGAATACATTCCTTTAAAAAACGAAAGAAAAATCAAGGCTGAAGGGATTGTTTCCCAATGTGCCATTTAGCAACAGAATGATGGAGAAATGTAAGTCTTGAAAGTCGCATCCTTGTTTTAATCACTTCACATTAATACCCACCCCTTTCTCTGTAGTGACAGGGAGGACAAAGGGAAGCCAGAATTCCACAGTGAGTAAACTTGCCCTCTGTCACCACCAGGCAACAAGACATTGCTTTTCTACTTTCATTTTCCTATGGGAATTGTGTCTAAAATAACTCCTAAAATGGGGGGGGGTGTCTTAAATTTATAAAATTTGTAGGCTAGCACAGAAAACCTTAGATTGAACCAAATATCACCCTTCATATCAGGAAAAAGAAAATCTTAAAGCAAATGAAAAGATTTAACTAATAGGTTGTAACATGAAGAAGTCAGAAATGGTGGATTTTAAAACAATCAACTATCTTAAAATTAACAAACAGAAATTATGAAAAGGATTTTAATAATGTAAGTTTTATTGAAGAATAAAAATAGATAATTAAACCTGGTGGTTGAGACACATATCTTTAATCCCAGTATTCAGGATGCAGAGGCAGGTGGATCTCTGAGTTCAAGGCCTGCCTGGTCTACACAGTGAGTTCCAAAACAGCCAGGGCTACACAGAAAAACCCTGTCTCAAAAAAAAAAAAGAAAAAAGAAAGGGAAGAAAGGAGAGGGAGAGAAGGGGAAGAAGGAGAGAGGGAGAGAGAGGAAGAGGAAGAGAGAGGGAGAGAGAGAGAAAAAATAGTCTAATAAAAATATGGGATATATAAGAATCAGACCTTGAAGTTTGACAAATGAAAGACAGATATAAAATTTACCATTGCTTTACAAAATGTGTAAAATTAACGTTGTACAACATTTATAGGCTGGAAACTATAAATAACTTATGAAGGAAATAACAGACTGTATATTCAACTAGAAAGGCACACTATGTTCACAGATTGGAGTGTTTGGTGCGGTGTGTTTGCATATGTTTCCTTATAAAGCCTGTTAAAGGTTTTATTCAATTCTTTCAATCATAGTAAGAACTTTTGTAGCTATAGACAAGATAATTTGAAATCTACATGAATGCAAAAGAAATGGGATTGTGCAAACAATTGTGAAGAATAGCAGTAACAAGCAAGACATGAATCTACCTCATATAAGACATCCAGGGCCATGGAGCAAACTGTAGAACACAGAAAGAAAATACACATATACATGCTTCCCTGATTTTTGCTAACGGTACAAAAGCACATTGGTAAAGATACATTTTTGTTAGTTTGTTGTTTTTTGTTTGTTTTTTAAGACAAGGTTTCACTCTTTGGCCAGGTTGTCCTGGAACTCAGTGGTTATTACAATTTGCTTTTGAACTTGCATTCTTCCTGCCCCTGTCTGAAGTGGATTGCTCCTTCAAACATGTTTCACCATATCCAATAAAATTAGATAGCCTTTTGATGCAAGCTGTGGGCCCATATGGTCAGCTCATGCCAATAAAATGCACCTTGACCTAAACCTCAAACTTCATGCACACATTTACTGAAAATCCACCATGAACTTAGACATAAACTGTACAACTGTAAAATATTTAGGGGAAACAAAAGCAGGAAATAGTCAGGTTACGTGAAGAGTTTTTAGACTTTGCAATGAAATCAGGATCTGTTAAAGGATAAAAAGCAAACTTTATTAAAAGTACGCGCCCAAATTTCAGGCTTGGAAATATTTAAAAGCAGTATTTGAGAGAAAGGCAAGTTTTAGACATTGAAAAAACTGAATAGGACATGAAAAACTATGATTCTTTATACAAGTAACAGAAACCTCACAATTCTCAATGAAGTGTTTTGAGAAATGCAAATTCACAAGTGCAGAGAAAAGTTTTCTGACAGGTGAAAGGGCTATCTAACTGAGCACTTCTTACATGAGTGCACTGGACCATGAGATTAACAGGTATTCTCTAAAGCTATCAAGAATGAGTAATAAGTTTGATGATTCATATACATTTACTATAATGTTTTGTACCTGATAAACATAATAAACATTTTAACTGTTTATGAAATATTCATTAAGTATTTATTATTAAACATCTACCCCAATAGAAACACAATAATGACAATGGCAATAGTGACCACCACCACTGTACCAGGAATGTACCTGGTAAGAGCACAATTAACTAATGAATGTTATTGTGGATGTGGCAATGGCTCCCAAGGATGATTTGGCAAGCATGTACTGTGTCCAAATTATTTGACATAGCAATTATCATTCTGATAATGTATCTTTTTTATATATATTTTTTTTGGTTTTTACGAGACAGGGTTTCTCTGTATTGTTTCGGAGGCTATCGGTCCATCCCGGCCTCGAACTCACAGAGATCCGCCTGCCTCTGCCTCCTGAGTACTGGGATTAAAGGCGTGCGCCACCACTGCCCGGCTCTGATAATGTATCTTAAAGAATGCCATCAAATATGGGAGGAGAAGAACAAAACTATAAGAAAATTACAGAAATGCAAATGCTTAAAGGGCAGGCAATAGTCAAGTATGCTAAAACCATTCAAGGGAAATGTCATTTGCCTTTAATGACATTTGTGAAGCTTACAGAATATCCTAAAATGTGAGGAAAGTACAGCATTAAAAGACATTCTATGTCTCTGTGTAGGGACCCCAAACGTTGAATGATTATAAACTACCTTTTATGGTTTAAAACAAAATAAGGAAAGAAAAAAAAAAGACAGAAAACTTGCACTTTCTACCTGCCAGTTTAGATAAGTTTTTGCCTTGCATCCATTTTGTAACATTCTGTCTTAAACTATCTAAGAGCATATTTCTATTGAAGTCACATGGTCTTTGAACAATAGCAACTCAGACTTAAGTCTTGATGTCCTTTAAAGATAAAACTAGACTAAGTTTTTTAAACCTCTTTTTAAAGACTATTTGCATAAATGTTTTATTTTAAGGGTATTTTAATAGTTAATTAGGAATTATCCTTCCTGAAAAAAATTGATTAAATTTTGCCCTATAAAGTAATTTCCATAATTAAATAAATAAATGTCAAACACACATAGTTTTACATTGAAACAATAGAGGTTACAAATTCATATTTTCAGTTTCTTTGGTATTCACTGTGGTGTACACAGTTCTCTGCCACATCTTAGCATTGCTGCGAAAAACAAATATGACTCCACCTTCAAAATCACAAAGCCAAATGTTCATTTAATTTGCTTAAATGAAGTCACTTCTTGCTAAGTAATTTCCAGATGCTTGGAAGAAAAAAGTCACCCTAGCAATGAAGTGAGAGCATCTGATGAATCTGGGTTCATCCATTTTCTTCTGTAGGATAATGTGAAGGTTGCTATTGTGAAAAAGACTCTTATGGAGATGGATAAACAAGCTAAGCCTGGGAACAGGTGTTTGCAAACCTCAGAGTAGACAGAACTAGTGTTAAGAGCCCTAAGTGTTCTGCAGTGTAAAGTCCATCAAGTTAGAGAATTTCATTGACAAGAAGGATCTATAGATGACAAATATGCACACGAAAGACATTCCATGGTAGTTGTTATTAGGAAAATTCAGTTTAAAAATTAAACTGAGACATTACCCCCCACAGTTACCCAAAAAGTTACAACAAAATCCCCAAATGCTGATGAGAATGTGGGAACTGCGTGACTCATGCATAGCTTCTGGGAACACTAAATGTTAAAGCCACTCAGGGTAAACAATTTGTGAGTCTTTTAAGAAACTTAACATGCAACTCTTGTATGAACAATTTGGAAATACAACCCAGAAATCAAAGCTTAAACTAATCACAGAAAAACAAACCTGACAATATTTACAAATGTGCATGCATATTTGTTTGTGTGAGTTTAGCTTATTGCTAATAGCCCTAACCTAAAATCGCCCTACAAAGTGGGTGAATAAACACTCTTTCATACATTCCAACCTCAGAACACTACTTACCAATGGAAAGGAGTGAACTGTCAATGCATACAGTAACCCAATGTCTCTGCGGATAAGGAAAGGGCCAGTTCCAGGGCATATATAGTGTTCTGTGATTGTACATCTGTAGTACTACAAACAGGACAAAATCATGGAAACCAAACAACCTGATGTTTGCTGATGGTCTGAGGAGAAGGTGAGAGTAGGCTGGAAAGGGATGCCTCTACAGCAAGGTGAAGGAGTAAAGGAGTGTTGTCATGCAATTTTCTCTGCTTGTGGCCATATCGTCCATATCCTGGCTGTGATTCATGCTGTAGCTTTGAGACATGGTACTATTGGAAAGAGCAGGAAATACTGTTAAGAGGACCTGTCTATGCAAATTCCTGCAATTGAAGTTAAATCTTAAACATGCAACCAGTCTTTTGCTGTCCTGTCAGCCAGCTCCCAAATAATGACATGGAGACTTACTAATTATGAAAGTTCAGCCTTAGCTTGGGCTTGTCCCACTAGCTCTTATAACTTAAATTAATCTGCTTCTATTAATCTATATTTTGCCATGTGACTTTTTAACCTTTATTTCATTCTATATATCCAACTTTCTCTCCTTGGTGTCTCGCTGGCATAATTCATGTGCCGAGATTCCTCCTCCTCTTCCTCTCTCCTCTTGGAAATCCTACCTATCCTCCTTTGCTTAGCTATTGGCAGTTCAACTTTTTATTCCAGCAATCCTTCTTCACAGTGTACAAATGTCCTGCAACAAAAACAATCATCCAAAAAAGCGAAGGCCTATTTGAAGTCAGTCATTCCCCTTACTTAAATAAATACAAGTCTAGAGATTTACTGATGACAGCAGACCTACAAAACAGGGACAAAATGTGTGCAGTTGTGCACACCTTTAGTCCAGCACTTGGGAGGATCTCTGTGAGTTCAAGTCCAGCCTTGTCCACAAAGTGAATTACAGGCCAGCAAGGGCTATATAGTGTGCCTCTGCTTCAAAACAACAAAAAAGGCACACATTTTCTGTTTGTTTCTAATTTAGATGAAGGCCCATTGTACTGTACAATAGACTGCAGGTCCTTTTCCTGGTCAAAGCATGCCATGTTATTTCACATCTATACAATTTCCACTAATTCTTTTTAGTAAACTGGGTAACTGTCAATACACACTTGCATCAATAATATAGGAGGAAGCCACTTCGCCCATAAATTCTTATAGTCATGTGTCCTGTTTTAATTTTGAAACAGCCTACATTTCTCATTTTTAGTTAGGGTAGCAAAGCCCTCCTGTAATGAAATGACAGTGTCAATTAAATATCTAAGTTTTAAGAAAAATGTTTTGTCTTAGGTAGTTCATAATACTTAAAAACTGTTTGTTAAAGTGGGATGCTTTCAATATTTAATGTTACCACTGTTTTCCTGTCATTAAAAACAGGAATTCCTCTTATTATGACCATTTGTCTGTGCACTTAATCAGTTAATGCCTTATTCTTTGGGTTAATTAAGTAAAGGAATATTTCATGAATGCTTTATGCAAATGAACTTGTGGAGGTTCAGATGAAGGATGAATGAGGTAGTGGACTTGGCTGTAGCAGCTGCTTCTCCTTGATAGAATGTATACCAGGTCCAATTCAGATGATAACTACACTTTGTTCACTTATCATCATCTTACAAAAATGGGAGCAGCTAACTCCACTGAAAATTAGAAGTTCTCATATAACATTTCACGCTTTTTCCCTAATCTTCTATGTGTAAGATCTGACCCTGTTTAAAACTGCTCAGTTCTATAAGGAGCCATGAACTAACTGGGCCTAGTTGCTCCGTGTCCTGAGAGGTCTTCCCTGGAATTTTTCATGGACCCTGCACCCGACCCAGGTGCCTTCATGCATGTCACCAGCCCAGAGTTTAAAACCCCTTCTCCTTAGGAAAAAAATACAGTAACAAAACAGCAAAAGAAACCACTCAATTCCATGCTTGCATTTAATTGGTACTAGGTATTCAAGGAAGGGCGAAAAACAGCTTTGCTGAAAGCTCTTCAATTGAACAGAGAAAAGGCTGCTAGGAGCTCACAGGACTCTAACTTGAAGAGATTCTCACTGGTGACCTCCAATGCCAAGCAGAGTATTTCCTGCTAATGTCTCCGAAGACCTCTGGGTTGTTTGTCTGTTTGGGGCGGCGGTGGAGGGTTGGGGGTGGCGAGGGGAGGGGTAAAAACAGCATGATATATTGTTACTAATATGCAAATCTGTATTGTATGACTCTTTTTATAAAGGCTGAAGAAATAACATTAACAATTGGCCAAGCTTTTGACCTGGCATACAGGAAATTCCTGGAATCTGGAGGAAAAGACGTGGAAACAAGAAAACAGATTGCTGGAATGCAGAAAAGAGTGAGTAGCCTAGGCTTCTGGCTTAACATTTGTCTGATGTGCATACAGGGAAGTTTGCATATGGCGGAGCAAACTAAGAAGGTTTGTCATTAATTGTCCCTCACAAGGCGGGTGCTACTATCAGCATATTCCTTTAATTCTTCATCCCGGGGCCTCTGCATAGTCTTTAACTGTTTTATATTGAATTCCTGCAAGAACTTAGTGTTCTCATGTGACTTTGCTTCACTTCCTGATGCTTCTCATGGGGATCAGAGCAGCAGAGGCAGCAGATGCTGGGTAAGTGGATTCCCATGCAGATCAGATTCCTTTGTAATTCAATTACGCCCCTTCTTCACCCTACAGTCTTCACTAGCAGCGGTTCTGTCTTGTGGTTATACTCCAAGATCATGGGTATAAATTGTTCAGCTCAACAAGAAAACACAGAAATGACCCTAGGAACATAACGTTTACACAAGTTTGTTTTGTTTTTTGTTTTTTTTTTTAATTTAATGTCTTTCCAGTGACTTATGACTTTCCGATATTTCCCTAGCTTTGTCAACTAATTTTCCTTGTATGCAAGAGAATTTTTGAATTTTAATAGAATAAAATGTTATTTGCTAATGTAGCTGAGATAACAGCCTACATCTTCCAAGAAAAAAAAAGTAATCCTGAAATTTTTTCAATAATCTTTTGATTTTTTTAGATCCAAGATTTAGAAACAGAAAATATGGAACTTAAAAATAAAGTACAAGATTTAGAAAACCGGTTGAGAATAACTCAAGTGTCATCCTCTCCAGTAAGTACATTGAGTAGTGTGTGAGTCTTATGATGTCAAACACCTCTTGATCATGAATTCCACATTGATTCAAATTGTGTTTTGTGTTTCAATAACAAAACTAAGTCTGGATAGAGATGAAGACTGCTCAGCCACATGCTTTCTCATATTTAAATTCTGTAGGTAGCTTAGAACAGAATTATTTTTCATGTAACTCTCTTTGTTCCCCCATTTTTTTCTAAAATAATTTAAACCTCACTTTGATCTTAAGGTTTAATATACTTTCTCCCTTTGTGGCGAATCCTGCACTTCTTTCTCGTTGGTTATTGTTGACTGGGGTTGGACACAATGGTCATGCAGTCTAGCCCTGCAGAGCTGACCTTCCCTTTAGGAAATACACTGAGAACAAGACCATGTTGTACTGGACACGTTTGCTTCAGACACTGACATTGGCAGATTCTGTTCAGACATCGTGTAAGCATTTGTCAAGAAATTATTTGTGTCTGACCTGATCCATTTGGAAATCCTTTCCTCGATATCAGGGATGATACCATTATTAAGTGATTCTAGCAAAAGGGGATTATTTTTGAGAGAGGTGCAATTTAAACCTGTATTTTTTCTAGCAAAGATGTATTTAATACTGAACATTTTTCCTGTTTATTAATGTGTACCACTAATAATCTTCATAATACATTTTATGTTCACTGTTTTACTTACAGCATGATTGCATGGACTTCAACACAATTGTGAGACAAGTAAACTGTTGGAAGAATTTTGACAATTCATATATAGTATTTACATATAATTTCACAGAATTAATATCATAAGGCTCACCAGTTCATCATCATGAAGAAGGGTGCTTCAATGAGAACTGGGCTTAAGTGGCCTGGAATTTGATATTTTTTCCCTTTACTTTAAACTCATATTTGATCATCCTCTGTTATTATTATTATTATTATTATTATTATTATTATTTTGGTTTTACGAGACAGGGTTTCTCTGTATTGTTTTGGAGGCTGTTGGTTCAGCCTGGCCTGGAACTCACAGAGATCAGCCTGCCTCTGCCTCCCGAGTGCTGGGATTAAAGGCGTGCCGTGTGCCACCACTGCCCGGCAATCATCCTCTGTTCTAAAAGAGTATGTCCATTGCTGATAGAACTGGTGACAGTCAGCTGCTATAGCTGAGTAGAGACAGGGGGACAGTCTCCTGAGGCTTTTGATCCTAGCATTCTTATCATAATCCTTCTTCCTTTTTCCCTTCATTTTATACTCCCTGAAAGAGTTTTCTGTTGTTTTGTTCTGGCTTGCTTCCCTTTTCTCAAGATACAGAATAGTTCTGTCTTCTACTTTAGCTCCAAAAATACAAAATGCAAGACACATCCTTTTGAGCCATGTTAAAATTCTTATTGTAAGTCTTGCTGTAAAACACAGAGTAGGAGAGAGGCTGCTTTTCCAGTGAGTCTTGAGTAATTGTTTCTAGAATTCATCAGGTGTGCTTTGGTTCAGTCTTTGGGTTGTCAAAAAATAAGTGTGTCATCACTTTGGATGCAAACCCAAAGAATATTTGCCATGTTTCCTTTCTTTGAGGATAGAAATCTGAGGCCATTTCATTGAAGGCGAAGGTTTGGGAGGATCAAATGGATTTGGGACACATTCACAAACTGCTTCCACCCAGCAGATCTTGCAAACCTGTCTCAAGGCAGACACTATCATACACTAACACTGGGTACCTGTGAAAAGATGGAGTCAGTGGTGAGGCTGTAAATGCGCATTGGAGGTTTGAATATAGTAAGATCTCGGTTAAAGAAGACAAAATTTCATTCAAGCAGGAGGAATAGGCTTAAGGGTCTTACTGCAGCTCTGAGACCTTCTACGACAGTGGTTCTCAACCTTCCTAATACTGTGACCCTTTAATACAGTTTCTCATGTTGTGGTGACCCCAAACATAAAATTATTTTTGTTGTTACTTTATAACTGTGATTTTGCTACTGCTATGAATTGTAATGTAAATATATGATATACAGGTTACCTGATATATGACACCTGTTAGAGGGTTATTAAACTACCAAAAGATCACGACCAATGGCTGAAAACCACTGTTCCAGAGTGTGCAACAGTTATTCTCACAATAAGAAAATGATGGGTGTATATAAAAGAACATAGAAACCTTTTGATTCTTAAAGGATTGTCAATTTAAAAGTATTCTACACATCTAAAATTAAGATAAAGTTAAGTAATGCTGCTAAAACTATGAATTATAACAGATCTGATCCAATAGCTTTGAAAATATTGTTATAGGCTTTTGTTAGCCTACTTTTATTCCTTATTTTTCAATACATTTTAATTCAAATAGAATTACATCAATTCCCCCCTTCCCTTTCCTCCCTCCAGCCCCTTTTGTCACCCTCATTTCAACTATTCCATGGATACCTCATCCCCCTACTCTCAAATTGATACTCTTTTTTTCTTTTATTATTATTGTTACACACATATATATGTGTATGTCTTCACAAATACATAAATACAAGCTACTGAGTCTGCTTTTTGTATGTATGTATATGATTTCAAGGCTTTTCTTTTTGATTAGATTATTAACAAATGTCTTTGCTTTTCATTTTCTATTTTCTTTACACAGCAGTGAAATAAGCTGGCATAGTACAAGTAGAGCTATATGTACTTTACCACTGTAAAATAATTTCCTCACTTTCTTATAGCAAAATTTTAAAAATAAGTTTATGTGACCTTCAACTCTTTAATATGAAGTAGTCAAGCTTACAAATACCCATCTTTAACTATTTGGAATTGATCAAACTATTGAATTGGAAAATGTATAATAATTAAAATTAAAATATAGGCATCTGTTAATGGTTTGCCTTGTGTCATGTTAGAAATAACTTATGCCTGTTCATGTGAAATTGAATGTTACCTTCAAAACCATGCTAGGAAAGAACATTTCACAGAACTCCCACAGCCCACTCTGGAATTGAGATTCTGTACACACTGTATATTTTACCTTTTTGTGTTGAGTTCAGGAATAAAAATATAGGATGCTTACAAAATGATCAAATTTGTTAGCAGTTTGGTTAAAGAAGTAGAAACAATTGTCTAAATAGTAGTTGAAGAAATACTGGAATTGATTAATGATCCCACATACAATAATATATGTAGGTTTATGCACAAATTAAATTGTCATCATAGGCTTAATGAGTTTTCAGTGTTTGTGCTGAGTGGAGTACCGCCCAAACAGGTGACCTCTTTACTGACCATCCCAACACAGGATGTTCACAGTCCTGAATTCCAGTCAGCTGTCAAAGTCATGGGTTGCTTTTCAGACAAAAGAAATAAGCCTTAGTATTATGCATAAAATGTATCTCCTTATTACATTGAGATTGTAGAAACCTTTTTGTTGGCTTTAGAAAGTGGTGCTCATGCTAAAGTGTCATTTAGATATATTGAAAAATTTCCATTCCTTGACTCCACGCTTTGCTTTGTTCTGGGTTCTCGTGGTTTGGCAATAGAAGAGAGGCTGGTTTTCTGCCATTTGGGACTAATCGTCTAGGAGCAATCTGATTTCCATTCATTATGTTCACATGGCAGTGTCACTTATGTTTATATTTGAAAAGAGCATTTATTTTGCCCTCCTGGCCTCATGGACATGTTCAGAAGATTATTCCTGTATAAAATGTGGCCATACCAAGCCACATCAAATTTTTCCTCATGGTTCTTATGTCTGAGGGCTTGCATTATATTTTACTAGGTCCAGAAGCTTTCAAACGAATCAAGCTATTCCCCAAAAGTTAAATGAATAAAATTATAGTTTTAAGGAATACTTGACTGTCTATTGCTGGGTAAAGCAAATGTCTCTTTTTCAATCAACCAGTGTTATATAAAATTCTCATTTTGTATAATCTACTGTGCAGCCACTGATTAGCTTCGATAAGACAATTACAACCTAAAATGTGTACTTCATTGTGGGTAAACAGACCTAGTACTTTCTCAACTACTCAAGTAGGCAAGAGCACATTATGAAAATTCTCAATTACACAACAAGCCAAATGTGAGTCTCTAAACAAAGGCACCAAGTTTAAACATGAACACCAGTAAAGAACATTTGGTACCCACAGGAAATAATTACTAGCTCCCAGCTTCAGACTTGTTGGCTGCACACAGATGATCCTGAGACAAAGTCTATGGAATGGGAAGTAAGTAGGTTTTCTTTTCAATTCCATCAGACAGTGCCTCCTCACAGCACTGAACCTTGTCTCTGGTTTCCTTTTGTGATGTGTAACAAACAAGTCACAATCATTTAACTTATGTGATTTTGAAATGAAATATAAGATAGTAGACCTCATAATTAAGAAATTATAAACCCACTTTAGATTTGGCAGTACTTTCCTGGTGGTATAAGTTTCAAATTACAGGATTCATTAGTTTTAAGGCTTATTTTTAGTGATGTTAAAAATGTACCATAGGCAGTTAACAACTCTGATAGGGGAATGATTAGTCTTCCCTAGGTATGAGCCCTCTAATGAGTTATCCAGTACTAGATGTACAAGTACCACTAAATAAACTCAGTAGGGTGTACCTACATATTAATGCATTTATGTGCAGATATAGCTATAGTAATTAAAGAAGAAAGGTCAGTGGCTTGAGAGGGAGTGAGAAAATTACATGGAATGGATGTGGGAAGGATTTGAGGGAGAGGAAAAGGGTAAATGATATAACTATATTTTAATTTTTAAAAAGCAAATTAAGAAGTGCCATAAAATGAATTTTAGAAGTATGAATCAACATCTGGAAACAAGTGAGAACAGGGCTGCCCACCCCACCCCACTGCTGCAGACCTGGGGCAGTTTTGAGTTGAGTCAGGCACTCAGCTTCCCATCTGGCCATATGCTAATGAATCTCTGAATTTCAAGCCTTGATACACACTCTTGGTCAAGACGGATATTTAATGTTGCTGTCAGCTTTGTTTGTACTGGGGTGTCTTTACAACACTTTCTCCCTCTCTGATTCTGTATTCAGCACCTCTCCCTCTCTTACAGAAAGGAAAACATAAACTTTAACCTTGAGGAATCTTTTGTTCATGCTCCCTCAGTAATGACATAGTGCCTCATCTCATACCTCCATCCTTCCAGTGCCTCTTATGAGGGAAATGTAATGGAGCATTGTTGTAGTAGGCTGCCTCTTTCCAGCTTCTTGCTTATAGTATCAAGTTCGAGGTGTCGGGAAATGAAAGACAAGATGTTTACCCATTTGTGCTAAGAGAATGAGTCTGCCGCCTTTATTGCCTGGAGAATGCGTGTCTGTATGTGCCACACCTGTGTGTCTTTATTGCAAGTGCTAAGAGATCTCTCTCTCTCTCATAGAGAAGGAGCAGCCTTATATGCAGGATTACAGGACAGTGGAAAAACCCCAGGTGGAAGAGATTATGTTTCCCTCATGCTAGATGTTGATGTCAGTGGAGCATGGCGGAGGCCATAAGCCAGGACTAGAAAACAGGATTCACTTAGACTGGAAAACAGGATGGACTTGTTGACTGACCAGCAACTCACAGAGACCCCATGGGGGCTGGGGCCCAACATAAAGGCTCAACTATATTTTGATGTTAGCTTGTTGAGTTAATTGGCAGCTATAGAATCTGAAACCTGGAGGGAGCTAAGCTCTTGGCAGGAAGTGTCCATGATAGAATAATGACTCCCAAAGTCTTAACACTCAGACCCTGATTACTATGCTACTTACCTACTATTTATGACCTCCAATTTCTAAGAGGTCCTTTGATGGGGGGAGTCCTTCTGTGTATATGTTTGTCTTATTGGTTGATAAATAAAGCACTACTGGCCAATAGAGAAGCAATATAGGTGGGACTAGGAGTTGAGGAGGATTCTGGGAAACAGAGGCACAGCCAGTAACCATGTAGGATTCAAAAAGAATAAGATGTGTAGACCCTTTCTCCGGGAAGAGAAGACCACGTGGAAATACTCAGATTGGCAGTTATGGGTTAATAATTAAGTCAGAACTAGCCAACAGCTTTATAACTAATGTAGCTTCCTACATGTTCATTTGGGACTGATGCAGCTCTGAGACCAGGCTGATGAGAAGAATGCACATTACAGTCCTTATTAACTTCCTTTTCATCTCAGTGTGTCTACCATGGGGAACGTCTTTTCAGGTTGGACAGGGGAGCTGGAGTCACAGTTTTAGATTTTGACTTTACTTCTGAGCTTACAGAGTTTTATATTCTACAAATCCATGGGTATTACTTCTGTAAAAATGTAAATATCTCTGGAGGCATACTTCCAAAGACTGGAAGATTACTCAAATGTGTATTAACACTAGAAAATTCTACAATCCCTAAGCTTTCACCAGAATTTCTCCCATGTCCATGACTGTTCATCCGATCACTGAGACCTTAGATTACATCACAAGCTTTCTCAGTTTCTTCTCTACTGTCCTTTTCTGAAGTACTGGTGATTCCAATATTCTGTTTAAAACTCTGGAAATATGACTATATTTCAATTAAAATGATCAGTGGGTACTCGTGCAGATATTCACCTTCAGCTGTGTTTGGATTTAGTGAAATTTCTCCTGAAATTGTCATCAAACTCTATCTTCCAAGCAATCTTCATGCATGCTCTTCACTCTCTCCAAGCCTCCTTAGCATGATTTTGCTTCTCTTTTCCTATACACTGCCACACAGATTGTGTGGTCATGTGCCACATGCGTTTCTGAGATTCCCATCCTTTTTCTGGAGCAATAGTGATGATCCATCTCCTTGTCTAAGTACATCTTCCATTTCTGTCACTCCTGTCAACTCACCTGGCTTCAGGTGGGATCATTAATACCACCACCTTCTTAACGTGGCCTGCTCTAGCCAGTCAGTGAAAACAACAATCCAAGACCTCACATAACTTATCAAACAGAAAACTCTATTGTCCATTCCCTACTTTAAATGAATTCTTGTAGAATGTGTCCTTTATATAGTGCTTTAAATAAGGTGTGGCTTGAATTAATGTGGTGATACCTGGGGTCTTTATGGGATATTTTTATTTTCTTAAGTTCCTGTTTAATACACTTTGAAGCAGATGATCCTGGGAATTTAGAAACCCTGAAAATGTGTTGTAGGATCAGTATAGAAGCTAGGAGAGAAAAAGCAATACTGCTGGTTTATAGTAAGAACTAATAACTTTATGTCCTAAGGAGAGATATGGAAGTGAGGGAAGACAGGAGAGGACTAGGACAACAACATTCCCAAATATAAAGTGTGAGGGGCATAATGTGAGGTGTTAAAAAAGGAGAAAACTGCAGAAAAATAAATGAACAATCATTTTAGCTAAACAACTAATCCACCTCCCTCTACATTCAACCAACCCTTTGTTCTTTTTGTTCTGAGAACTCTACTTTCACCATGAGCCACTCTGGACAATCTATGCACAGTCTAATAGGAAAAGTCAAAAGTTCTTCTACTCCTCTTTAAAGAACTCATCCTCTAATCAGCTATGACAGTTTCCACAGAAGACCATACATACATTTGACCTTGCTTGACAAATTGTTATTTCTCCCATTTTATACTATTTTTGGCTACATTTTCAGAGAATATTAATATTCATTTCTGCATATCTTCAGTCCTGATCTGCACTGTATAATTTAATATTTTGGATGTTACATTGTTGATTATTAATTTATTTTACAAGGTTGATGTTTATTATGAAAACATGAAATTATTCAGGAATAAAATTCCTGCAATGGATATCAACTAATTGTTCTTGTACTTATAAATGCAAATTAACATGCTCTACCTCTAAGAATACAAAAATGTAAACTAAATTTGAACATTTATAACTAAGAAAGTAGTATCTCTTGTTCAATTGTTTCTTTTAAAAACCTCATGCAAAGTCAATTTCAAAACTTTCATTTTTATTCAAATAGTTTCTGAGGTATTTGGTATTTTTTAACAGGGTTGACAATTGTTTGTAAGTATACAAAAGCCCAGCATACCTTGCCTATCCATCTTCAACAGTGTCCACACTACTGTTGCTGTCCGCTTTGAGAATACATTTTTGTTGTTTTCTTTTGAGTGAGCATTTGGTGTATTACCTTGAACCACAAGAAACTATGGTTAACCACTTTTCACTTACAGAATGGCAAGTTATCTGACACACTTCAGGGTTGTGTTTGTGTGTTTTACATATGTGTGTCGTTCTCGGGAGAGTATTATGCCTGCATGGGACATCACACTGATTCCTGTCTTCATTGCAGGCTGGCAGTGTGACAGTGAAGTCTCCTTCCACTGACATCTTTGATATGGTTCCATTTTCCCCAATATCACAGCAGTCTCCAACGCCTACTCGCAATGGCACACAGCTCCCACCAGTACCTAGCAGATCTACTGAGATCAGTAAGCACTCTAAATATATTGGTATTCTTTTGCGTGTGTATTCAGTCTTTTACATTTTGTGAAAATAATGTAACAAGTCACCAGCTTTAATTATTGATATATAATGCTTTTATATGGGTTTCAAATTTGATTAATTCCATTTTAATTTATAATTGAGAAAAAATACTAAATATATCTGTATTTGCAAGTTGAACCTTATGTGAACGAAGTTTCTATTGGTATAAGGTATTGGTATAAGGCTACTTCAATCATAAAATTGTTCAACTGTGCATTTCTATTTATTTAATATCCTAACTACTAAAAATAACTCAGAATCATTGTATAGTCATTTGTAGTATGTTTACTAGCATAGCTTAGATATTCTTATTCCAAGCCATCCATGTATCATTAGTGGGAGACTATACAAAGAATGTACATCCTGATTTTTCTGTGTATAATATTATTTTAGGGGTTTATCTTTTATATATTAAATATTCAAAAACATTTTTTCTAGTGTATATTCTACATATCTGTAAACAACATGGAAATCTCTCTTTGGTACATGAGAAAGCATCCAGTAAGCATTCATTATCCAGGTCTATCTGATATCTCCTGCCCCAGACTCTGAAGGAGTTATTCCAGTGGCCAAAAATCATCCACTCAAGCCACATGAATACTGGAGAAATCAGTTTCATATTCTACCTTATTATGTATGCACTGAGACCTTACACGTACAGTTCTAAAGTGTTAGGGGAATTATGTAGTGAATGATAGGAATGTAGCCTTTTGTTTCTCATGTGAACGTTGGGAGTGCAGATTGTTCATGGCAATTATTAAATGTATTTTGAATGATGGTCTTTAAAGAAAATACTAATTGGAGACTATAAACATTAGCCTACAGAAATTTTTTTTCGTTCAAACCTCCATAGCACACAAAGCAAAAAACAGATTGTCTAGTTTACATTTCATTGCTGTGATAAACAGCTCCCCATGAGCAAAAGCAGCTTGGGGAGGAGAGGGGTTGTTTTACTTCATCAAGGGAAGTCAGGACAGGAGCTCAAAGCTGGGACTACAGCAGAGACCCCCATATGGAGGAACAGTGTTTCTTGGCTTCCTTGCTGGTCATCAGTCCTCCCTCTCTGTTACTGGCTTTCTTGAGTTCAGCTCAGTACTTAACCGAGGGAGTCTGCCTCTTCTTCCATCAGCCACTGAATACAGTTTCTGTTTCCCAGACTCTCTGGCCATGGGATTGTAGGCTGGCACTCCCCAGATCTATGTCTAAAATCCATATATGAGAGAGTACATGCCATGTTTCTCTTTTTGTGACTGGGTTACCTCACTCAGGATGGTTTCTTCTAGTGTCAATTTTTTAAAAATAAATGCTCTTATTTACATATCAATTCCCCCATCCTCTTACCCCTTCCATCCTCCCATGCTTCCCACTGACTACCCAACCCACTCCCCAGGCGCTCCTCAGGGGCAGTGATACCCAGAGGGTATCCTCAAAGTCCATCACATCATTTGGGGGAGGTTCCAGCCCCTTTTCCATATCTGGGCTGCAATAGTATCCCTCCATAGGGAATGTGCTCCCAAAGTCCATTTGTGACCTAGGAATAAACACTGGCTCCAAGGTTATAGGTTTCATAGACTGCCTTGGCCTCCTATCTGGTACCCACATTCAGAGGGCCTGGTTCAGTTCAATGCTGGTTCCCTGCTTTATGACTAGTGTCTGCATGCTCTCATTAGGTCAGGCCAACTGCTTCTGAGGGTATCTCCAGTACCATATTGGTTCATTTGCTCATCTTTCCTCCCTCTCCACAACTGGATTCCAGGGGTATGACTCAGTGTTCAGCTTTAGGTGCCTGTCTCTGTTTCCATCAGCTACTGGATTAAGGCTCTAGGAATGGTAACTAAGGTAGTCATCACTCTCATTATAGGGGAAGGGCATCAAAGGCACCCTCTCCACCATTGCCTAGATTCTTAGTCAGGGACATCCCTGTGGATTTCCTACCTTTTTCTCTGTGCCAGACCTCTCTCTAAACTTGTACTGGCTCCCTTTATCAAGGCATTTATTTTCTTGTCCTCCTCTATTCCTTCCATGTCTCAGTCCTCCTGTTCTCCTCCAACCTCCTTCTCCCCCTCTCCCCTTTCCATCTCCCTTCTCCCCATGCTCCCAATTAATCAGAGGTTATTGTCCTCCTCCCCTTCTTCTGGGGACCATGACTTTTTCTCTTGGAGTCCTCCTTGTTTCCTAGCTCCTCTGGCAGCATGGATTGTAGGCTGGTAATCCTTTGCTCTATGTCTAAAACCCATATAAGAGTGAGTACATAACATGCTTGTCTTTTTGTGACTGGTTTATTTCGCTCAGGATGGTTTATTCTAGTTCCATTCATTTGCCTGCAAATTTCAAGATTCCATTGTCCTTTTTTCCACTGAGTAGTACTCAATTGTGTAAATGTACCACATTTTCTCTATCCACTCTTCAGTTGAAGGGCATCAAGGTTGCTTCCAGATTCTGGCTATTACAAACAATGCTGCTTTTAATAGAGTTGAACATATGTCCTTGTTGTATGAATGTGCATTCTTTGGGTATATGCCCAATAGAAGAACTGCTGGATCTTGAGGTAGACTCATTCCCACTTTCCTGAGAAACCAAAATACTGATTTCCAAAGTGGTCTTACAACTTCGCCCTCTCACCAGCAATGGAGGAATGTTCCTCTTTCTCCACATCCTCTCCAACATAGATTGCCATTTGTGTTTTTTTTTTATTTTAGCCCTTCTGCTCATTGTAAGATGGTATCTCAGGGTTGTTTTGAGTTTCATTCCCCTGATGGCTAAGGATGTTGAGCAATCTTAAGTGTCTTTCAGCCATTTTAGATTCCCCTATTGAGAATTCTCTATTTAGTTCTGCACCCCACTTTTTAATTGGATTGTTTGGTGTTTTGGTGGCTTCTTGAGTTCATTGTATATTTTGGAAATCAGCTCTCTGTTAAATGTGAGGTTGGTGAAGATCTTTTCCCATTCTGTGAGCTGCCATTTTGTCTTGCTGACTGTGTCCTTTGCTTTACATAAGCTTCTCAGTTTCAGGAGGTCCCGTTGATTAATTGTCAGTCTGTGCTACTGGTGTTATGTTCATGAAGCAGTCTTCTATACCAATTCATTCACGGGTACCTCCCACTTTCTCTTCCAAGAGTATCAATGTGGCTGGATTTATGTTGAAGTCTTTGATTTATTTGGATTTAAGTTTTGTGCATGGTAATAGATGTGGATCTATCTGCATTTCTATACATATCAGCATCCAGTTATGTCAGCACCATTTGTTGAAGATGCTTTCTTTTTATCATTGTATAGCTTTAGCTTCTTTGTCAAAAATCAGGTGTTCATAGGTGTGTGGGTTAATACCAGGGTTTTCAATTAGATTCCATTGGTCTACCTGTCTATTTTTGTGCCAATACCAAGCTGTTATTAGGACTGTAGCTCTATACTAGAGCTTGAAGTAAGGGATGGTGATGCCTCTGGAAGTTCATTTATTGTACAGGATTGTTATGGCTATCCTGAGTTTTTTTCTTTTTCCATGAAAAGGTGAGTATTGTTCTTTCAAGGTCTGTGAAGAATTGTGTTGGAATTTTGATGAGGATTGCATTGAATTTGCAGGTTGCTTTTGGCAAGATTGCCATTTTGACTATGTTGACTCTACCTATCTAAGAGCATGGGAAATCTTTCCATTTTCTGGTATCTTCTTTAATTTCATTCTTTAAAGACTCAAAGAACTTATTGTACAGGTCCTTCACTTGTTTGGTTAGTATTACACCAACATAGTTTATATTCTTTGTGGCTATTATAAAGGGTGACATTTCTCTGATTTCTTTCTCAGCCCATTTTTCATTTGTATATAGTAGGACTACGGATTATTTTTTTTAGTTAATTTTGTATCCTGGAACTTTGCAGAAGGTATTTATCAGCTGTAGGAGTTCCTAGGTAGAGTTTTTCCCAGCTCTCTTATGTAAACTATCATATCATCTGCAAATAGTGAATGTTTGACTTTTTCCTTCTCAATTTGTATCCCTTTGATCTCCATTCCTCGTCTTATTGCTCTAGCTAGAACTTCACATACAGCATTGAAGAGATATGGAGACAGTGCACAGCCTTGTCTGTTCCGATTGTAGAGAATGCATTGAGTTTCTCTCCATTTAGCTTGATGTTAGCTGTTGGTTTGTTGTATATTGCTTTTATCATGTTTAAGTATATTCCTGTTATTCCTGATCTCTCTAATTCTTTTATCAAGAGGGGTGTTGACTTTTGTCAAAGGCTTTTTTAGCATCTAGTGAGATGATAATGTGGTTTTTCTTCTTCAGTTACTTTATATGGTGGGTTACATTGATGGATTTTCATTTGTGAAACCATCCCTGCATCCCTGGGATGAAGCCTACTTGATTATGGTTGATGAGTTTTCTGATGTGTTCCTGGATTCAATTTTCCAGTATTTTATTGAGTATTTTTCATCAATTTTCATGAGGGATATTGATCTATAGTTCTCTTTCTTAGTTGTGTCTTTGTGGGACTTGGGTACCAAGGTAATTGTAATGTCCGTTGTGCTTCTATTTTGTGTAACAGTTTGAGGAATACTGGTATTAGGTCCTCTTTGAATTTCTGGTAGAATTCTTCACTGAAACCCTCTGGCCCTGGGCTTTTTTTCTTGGGAGACTTTTGATGACTACTTCTATTTCATTAGGGGTTATAGGCCTATTTAAATTGCTTCTCTGTTCTTGATTTAATTTTGGTAAGTGATATCTATCCAAAAATTTGTCCATTTCCTTTAGTTTTTTGAATTTTGAGGAGTACAGGTTTTCAAAGTATGACCTGATGATTCTTTGGATTTCCTCAGTATCCATTGTTAGGTCCCCCTTTTCATTTCTGATTTTGTTAATTAGCATGATCTCTCTCTACCTTTTGGTTAGTTTGGATAAAGGTTTGTCTATCTTGTTGATTTTCTCCAAGAACCAACTCTTTGTTTCCTTGA